CATGTTCTAGCCATTGTCACAAAGACATCAGCAAAGTGACTTTGTAAATAATGACGGTGGCCACAATTGGAAACCCAAGAAGAACGCCACAGACATTTTGCAAAACCAGACTTCATGTTAACTACGGGTTAGTTAAATCCGTTTAACATGTTTAACCTTCATTATATAACTTTCAACATATGTGTATGACATATATATATATTGCATGTGTATATATATATATACTGTACTGCATATATATATATACTGCATATATATATATGCTAAACATTGCTAAACTATAAGAAATCTACCAGGATTTCCACTTCAAGGTTGACCGCCTCGGGCCCAGGGATGGCCGAGAAGCTTCGAGCCGACTGGGCGTCTTGGGATGGGCGACTGGGATGAGATCTGACTGGATGCTTTTGTGGAACTATCAGATATGGCTCATCAATTAAAAGATAGCTATTATAATAACATAAGATAACATCTATAGATAGTTTATATAGTTATAATAATAACATATAATAACTATCTCATCATCAAACAAATTATAAGATTAATATTATCAGATAGTTATTATAGATGATCCATCTATAGTTATTATGGACTATAGATGGATCACTGACTATATACTGACTATATACTGACTATATACTGACTATATACTGACTATATACTGTCTAAGGATCAATTAAATGACAATCAATTTGGATCTACCTGTACTATGGACTATAGATGGATGATCAATTAGATACCTGCGTGTTGGATATGATAGCCATATGATACACTATGATATACTAATATGTAGAACATGTAGATTTGATTACAACATATTATGCATAGATTAGATGAATATATGGAAACTAATATATGGATATCTGGATAAATTATGCTGATTCACAAACCTAAAACATGGTGCATTTTGGAGATACTTACCCCTACGAACAAACCAACCAAGGGACAACATAGGAATGGGATCAGCATGGGAAAACCATCAGAACCATGGGAGAAGCAAGCAAGGTAAGCCTTTCTCGAATCGCTCCCAAAAGGAAGGTACTCTTCCAACCTCCAATTTTCATGGCATGTTTGTCAATGGGAGGGTAATGTGATGGACTTGAAATGATTTGATATATCTTTTCGTTTCACTTTAAATAACCTTTCTACATACTGAGCCAAGCCATTTACCTGACTGAATTCTACAGTCTTTGAATCAGTACTTTCTTTTCTTTCACCAACCTGAAAAGGCCAGCAAGATGGGCTGTCTACCAAATCCAATTCCCAACGTTTCCATCGAAAAAAGAAACCGCGACGGCACTAGCAACGTTGCGCTGCGCCTGTGGCAGGGCACGTGGAAGGAGCACTAGAGGACTTCGGATCGGAAGGAGCTGCACCAACGGTGCACGCGCACCAATACGGGACATCCTCAACCAAGGAAGCCATGGATCGAAAAGGCGGGGTGGGGTGAGACATGGTGAGACGGTGAGACCTGAAAAACATGGACTTGCCAAAATAGGATTTTGCTAAAAGGAAATCACTGATACGATAGTTGGGTTCCCTGCGTGGGGATTCAAAAGATCAATTCGCTAATTTTTTTGTTTGAAATTTGGGGCAGGACAACCATGGAATCTATAGGAAAGCATGGATGTGACCTTCAGATATGAAGGTATCTTGCGATTTTTCCCCTCTGCTACCATCCTTGTAAGCTCTATGGCCATCCATCAAAACAGTTCAAGACCCTGGTGCCACAGCGGAAGAATTAGAGTGGGAGAGGTCAGGTGGAATATCACCAAGAAGTCAACCATCATTTGTAAGAATATCATATAAATATAATTGATTATAATTAATGATTTCATGTATGTGCCATGGTCAAAAAAGGATTTAAAAAAAAAGGGCATGGTCATCCCACTATCATGAATGGGATTCCTTCTACTGGGTATCGTATAGTATACATTAGTATAGCCCCTACTGATCGGGGGATGATCATCCTCTTTCGGAATGAGAATGGCTAACCCCTGTTGTGACCATGGCACGGAGGTATGCTAAGGGATGACCATGTCCCACTGGTTTTTTGGTTGATCTCCCCACAACTATTGGTTAACAGAAACAAGTAAAACAATGTGCATCAAGCCCGGCCTTGCTGCAACAAACATGGACTACTCATGAACCTGGATGAATTTAAGGTCATCTTAAGTCATCTAATATATTTTTCATTGAAAAACAACACGGCAATGTGGTACTGATTTATGTCAGCACTGCAGTACAATTCAATAAACAACCACCAATATGTTCATGATTTATACCATCCATTTATGGTAAGTTGTTGGGGATGGTTTACTATTGCTGTACTAGTATTATGTAATGTCCTTAATTATCAACCCACCTATTTTACCAGAAATGCCTGGTGAATTGTGTATCCAACACTGATGCCATTGGGATTACCACATTGACACAAAAATTCAGTTCGGTCATTTTAGTGTCTTTATACATATATATATAATATATATATATATATACAATTTACCATAATACAATCGCACACGTCGATCTTGTGAGGGCTAGAACCCCCAAAAAATCATCCTTCAACCATCATCCTTTGATGGGGGACCTTATACCACAGCCCACTGGCAGCCCCGTCCTCTGCAGCAACATGACTTTCGCGACGCGGGTCCGGCGCGTGCTGAGCTGGGGCCAAACAGCGCTGGAGATCGGACCTGGTGTCTGGTTGTTTGAATGCAGATTGAATCCATTGGGGGTTGATATAGTATATAGAATATATATATGTGGTAGTATAGTTCATGTGTTAATATAGTGTATGTATATGTATATGTGGTAGTAATAGTTGACGTGTTAATAAAGTATATATATGCATGCATATATATATATATATATATGTTATGATTATATATCTGGGTAAATTAGAATAATTCACTAAACCAAAAAGTTTGGTTATATTGGGATAATTCCCCTTGCAGTGAGAAAGAACAGTGAGCTTGCTGTAATTTACATATCCAGATGATTGAATTGAAAGCCGATTGAATCCATTTTCCATGGTGATGTGATTTTTTTCACAAGGAACAGTGTATACGTCCAATAGGAAACATCACCATTTGGACATATCGGATAGGTTAGTTGGTTTATTCCACCTGGATAGTGATATGTCTATTAGATGGGGTTAAGGATCACCTTGGATGAAGGGGGGGCAGGTTGATATTGGCACATTTAACCAAGTTCACCTTGGGGCTGTGAAAACCAGAGCCCGAAACAGGTCTCTTGTTGTTGAGTTTACAACATTAAATATTATATATACAGTAAAACTATAAAATCCAATATATACACACATATATATATATACATATATATACATATATATATACACATATATATATATATATGTACGACATATAATATAAATATTATAAGTATCATACTATAATACATATTTGTACTGATATATCTATATAGATATATACATATACATACTTATATACACATATAATATACGTATGAGTACATGTATTGTATATTGTATTTGTAATATATATTTTATAATATAAATATATGTTTGCCATAGTTGGTCGGCTGAACTAGGATATTCACCAACTGGAATAGAGATAAATAAGGTCGCCTGGCGATAATTTTTCATAATGATCATCTACAGTGAAGTCGTTCTGAAGATGCTAGAACTACACTACGGTATATACTGTTATTATCTTATTTGTCAAACAGTCAAACAAAACGCTAGGGATATAATAACCACAGATCTACGCCTTCCAAGCAATGAGAAGTGCTGGTGTACTACGAGTGGGTGCGCAAGAAGCACGGAGCGGCCTCGAATCTTTAGCCGGGCATGAAAACCCAGAATTAGATTGGCATGATCAGTACATACCTGAACAACAAAAAAATCTCACCTTCCGTTTGTTTAAACTATATCATATAATCAACATGAATGAACCATCCATTTTTTTTGATTTTTAGGACTAAATCCCTTATTGCTGCTGCTCAGCGAAACAATTCCTTCCTAAAGTTCACATGATTTAAGCAAAAATTGTATGTTCTACCAACAATTTGTTCCTAGGTTTTGGTTTATACTCCAATAAAATAATAATAATAATAATGTAGATATTAGACTATTAATAATAGATTAACAGATATGGACAATCCAGCATCTAGGTCCGGTCACTGTCTTAGCAAGGGCCATTGATTTCCACACCTATGTTTATCCTTGGTAACTGGGAACCATGGATGTTTGATTCAGACCAAGCAGTGTCATCAAACATAGCTGGAAAATTCCCATCAAAAATAAGGGAGCTGTGAATGAATTGTGATTGAAACAGATGGGAAAAAACATCTTCAAATACCATACAAAAAGCTATTGAAAATGGCCCAGTCGAAATAGCGGATTTACCCAGCTAGAGAATTGTGATTTTCCAGTTCGCTATGTGAAATTACCAGGCCGGGTATCTTTAAATGCACGTTTTCAAGTGCTGGGAAACTCAATAAACTATTCCGAATGGTGATTTTCCAGCAAACCGTACTGATTTCCAAAGGGTGTTTGTTCCCTTTGTAAGAACATGGTGATTATTTTTGTGTTTATTCCATTGTTCGATATTCCCCATATTCCATTGATCTCATTTCAAGAACAACCAGGATCTTTGATCCCTTCATGGATCCCAGTCTGGTACAGTGGGACCCGCCTGAATTGGGACGAACATCCATCAAGAAAAATAAATATTCATGGCAGACAAATTGGTGTTTTCAAGCACAAAACGGTGGATTTTCGTCCGACCAAAAATGGTGAAAAATGGCCACAGTGGATCCCACAGTGCCCAGCCCCATTTTTCTGGCGAAACATCAACTGCTCAAGTGGCAGTTGTGCGTCCACGGAGAGAGATTTTTCAAAAACATCCACGGCAGCCACACCAATTCTGGTGAAAGCTAGGCTTTGGACACCCTGAAGTGGAAAAACGGTCGGCAAAAGGCAGAGGGCCATCAAGATTCACTTCTTCGCAGATGCCCATGGATCCAAGACCCTTTTTTTTCTGTTTCCACATCAAATGGCCGGTGAATGCATGTGTGTCCTCCCAAGTAATTACTTTAAACACATAAGTTTTGATTCATCCCCAGATAGTCCTGAAATCTTATGTCCATCTGGGACGTAGAACTTGAAGCATCTTGAGGGGGCATAGTCTAGACCTTTTTAGACCCATCCTGACCCATTCCCAAAATTCATCAGAATTCTGGTATCTTTGGTGATCTTGAGGAGGCCACAGAGAATCTTATGGCTGTTGGCTTCAACATGTTTGATTCTCACCAAATGGCTAAATTGGCTTAAACATATTAATTCATAATACATGATAATCTGATATGTATATATATATATATATCATTAAACGTATAATACATATAGGATATATATAATACATATAATATATGTAATACATATAGTATATATTATGTATATAATATATAATTAGTTATATATATATAATATATATAATATATAAAATATAATATATATATAATATAAATATAATAATATATATATATATATTAAATAATATAAAATAAAATATATATATACTATTTTTAGAATAAATATAAATAATATAATATAAATAAATATCTAATATATAATAATTAGAATTTATCCTATTATATATATATATATATATTATACTACATAAAATAAAAATAACAAAAATATTTTTTATAATATATAATATATATAATATTTATAGAATATATATAATACATATAATATATACAATATATAATATATAATATATATAATTTAATATATATATAATTTATTTAATAAATTATATATATATATATTAAGTATATATAATAAATAATATATATATAATATAAAATATAAATTTTCTATATATATTATGTATTATTTATAATATATATAATATATAATATATATATAATATGAATTTAATATATATATAATATATAATATATATATAATATATAATATATATATAATACATAAAATTATAATATATATATATATATTATAATATAAATATATATATATATATAATATAAATAATATATAATATATATAATATATAATATATATAAAATATATAAACTATATAAAATATAATATATAATATATATAATATATATAATATATAAAAAAAATAAAATATAATATATACTATATAAAATATATATAATATATAAAATATAATATATATATATAATATAAGATATATATATATATAATTTTTATTTTATATATATATAATATATATATATGCGAATACAATTCAAAAGATGTCATGGCTTCAACGAGCTATAGCAGCTAGGGTCCGGTTCATGTTTCACCAAGACCGTGGAAATCGTGGAACCTGGGATGATCCTCGGGTTTCGCCATCGCCGACCAAGTCCTCCCCCGCCTGCGGCGTCCACAGGCCGTCTGAAGTCGCGCCGCGGCAGGGGCGCGTTTTGGATTTCGCCAAGGCGTGAAGAGCAGGAAACGTTTTCGCAGACGTTGAAATCAAGCCGTCATGGGAAAAGGATAGCCCTATGATTAGTGATATGATTTGGGAATAAAACACTCAATCTTTTAACTATATTTATATTATATATATAATTTGTTGTTGGAACTACATCAGTTCTTGGGTGTGTTGGCAAAAGATCCACCCACAAAAAAAACACCCGGAAAAGCTCATTATGCACAACAATCCAGGAACGAACACGAGAGTTGAGGTCAGCTTGGACAACTTGGTTTGATTGGTTTTTTTGATGCCTTTTGACTATCTAGTTGGTGGTTTCAACCCCTCTGAAAAATATTAGTCAATGGGAAGGATTATCCCATATATTATGGAAAATAAAGTTCATGTTTGAAACCACCAACCAGCTATGACTATGTATGAGTATGGTGCGTTCTTGTTTGAAACATGCTCCCTTTTTGAACTACAAAACCAGGTAGTATGATCTCCAACTTTCCAATTCGAGGTCCATATGGATGGCAGCACCATGCTTGTCGTATCATTTTTTGTTGGATGTTTCTTCATCCCCCAGATTTATTTTTGTGGAAAAACATAAGTTGTTTATCATTTTTATCTTTTCATCGTCATAGACGTACAGCCGATTCTTTAGGCATTTAGCAGCTTCAGCCGCAGTTTTCTGCTCTTCGGGAAAGTTAATGGAAAATCTCGACCGAGCGTATGGGATTGCTACAGGGCACGCTAGCCGTCTATATATATCCAACACGGGAAACACCCCCCAATTTGGGCATATACCCTACTTCCTGTCGTTTAACAGAACCACCAAATGATTGTCTGTTGAGCCTGGTTTACTATGTGGTTTACAGATGTTTACAGCATAACTGGCATGGCATTGACATTACATCAGGTCCAGCGGTGCACTTTTCAGCAGCCCTCCGCAGCGGAGCTCGGCATTTTCCGAGGCCCCGCGGTACTTTTTTAACGTTGGCCGAAGTCGGCTCCAGAGGGGAAACCGGGCAGCAGGAGGCAGGAGGGACATGAAATAAACTGTTAAGGAGTTGAAAGGTGCATGTCATTGCATGTCTAAGATTGCTTGCGGCTCATTGGGGAAAGGCTTTCCTGCTGGTTTATGATCAATTGATTCCTCTAGGACCATGAAATTGAAGTTGAAATTTGCTGCCTTGAAATGCAGTTGGCTGCACTTTCAGAAGGGTGCGTTCGATCGAGGTCTTCGAAAACTCACCTTCTGCATCAACCAATTTATCTGATGGCTACCCAGAAAGTGACTGGTAGTTTCTGAGGTTTGGGACCTCGATGGAACGCACATGAGGCCCGTGACCAATTTTTGGACCGCATCAAAAAAAAATAATCTACTCTACCTATCCAAAAATGGTGCAGTTGAGCGCGCGCTCAACTCACCAATGCTAGTCATGACACCGACCCCACAGAACGCCGCAGTGCCCATGGTGCCAGCGGCTGAGTTTGTCGAGAGGTATTTCATGCTATTTCTAGCATGGTCTTTGACATGGAGATGGTCTCCCACAAACTCGGCGACATGATTGAAGGAACTCAATATCCAATGTTAAATGGTATGCTTTCTTTGTATAGTACCTTCACATCATGGCAAGCGTTTTAGTAACTTGTTCTATCTTTTTGGGGGACTAAGTCCAAGTGCTCTCCCAAGCCTCCCAAGAACTCATTTTTTTAGGCTTTCCAGTGCCTCAAGGACAAAACATAAAAACGACATCCTGGTCAGTCACCCCGTGACCAAGAACAACGGTGCACGGTTTCCTTGTTTCTGGTCGCAACTAGACTTAAACTATACACTTTTGACTCCTTCATGGATGGAAAACAGTACAACAACATACAGCTATGTGAGTCAGCACCAATCTAGAAAATATTCCACAAGCCCTTGAAGCCCTTGGGGTGTTTTATTGTGGGTCATCATGCTTCAGAAATTTGTCGAAAAAAAGGGACCCTTCAACCTCCGGTGTCATGACAAACATGGTTGGGAAATCCCGGAATATAATATTACCCTCTGGTTATTTAACATAGCCATGGAAAATCACCATTTTTAATAGGTAAACCATCTATTTCTATGGGCCATCTATGCCATGGCTATGTTAAATAACCAAAGGGTAATTATAATTATAATATCATCTATACATGCGTCATGTCTGATGACCGGAGGATACACCCAAAAAACATGGCAACATGTTTTTATGTGGAAACAGATGCATGTGATATAATCATATACATACATACGCTGAATATATAATTATATATTACATACACGTACATATGATTCGATATAAACTGATGATCATATGGGGGTTTAGGCGGATTACCCAAGATGTTCATTAAGAAAAACTGTCTTTCTCATAAAATCACTCCATGTTGGTCGTCCAGCATTTTGGGGTGGGGTAAGTCAGACCCATGCACCCAAATGGACCCCAAAACTTATCCACTTCCCAAATTTCTGAGGGAAGAACCTAATTGTTTTTGATCCTTAACCCGTTCTTCCTGACGATTTCTGGGAAGTGTTATTTCTTTTAGGCAATCAATTGCATAAATGCCATGTGAGGGTACATCTAAACAGAAGAAATTTGTAGCAGAAAAATCCCCCTGCTTGTATCTAACTCGATAGCTATATGATTATTCAAAAATACCCTAGTGAACCCGCCAATCCAACCCATATATCATATCCTGCGGTATATCGTCCAATACTCAGCCCGCTTCGCAATTTTAGGCCGCCTTAAAGACTTTGCAGCTGAACGGCTCTGCCACAGATGGAACGCCACTGGGAGAATTCTCCATGCCATATCCGTGCCACAGCCGAGATCTTAACTTCCAGGATTCTCATAACTTCCTGTACCGATTTCACATGTCACATTATATAATATATATAATATATATATACATATATATATCTCATATCATATATAAATAGTACTGGATCACAATTTTGGGACTCCTGTGATGAACAGGGGGGGTGGCCCAGACAGGGGGTTAACAGGCCAGTTCTCACAGAGTCCCTTCATGGGCACTGGAGGTTTGGGCCGCATCTCTATCCAGTAAAACCCCAGATCCCCAGAATAATCATGATGATTTGGGGATGGGTCAAAACCTTGTACCCCTTCTGTTCACATCAAGTCATAGCTGGGATTTATGGATGTGAATAACCCACTAAAAATGGTATAAAAATAGGTATTGATCCATACCCATTTCAAGCCATTCCTAACAGTTATTGAAATGGTTTGGACCCATTCACGGGTAACAAGCTCTATCGCTCATTTGCAATAGTTAATGTAATTGATGACTACGAATAATGCTAACCCCCTTAATAAACTCCCGGTTTACTACATAGAGCATAAAATCGTACGTATCCTACATATTTTGTGAACCAGCCTAATTCCTCGTAAACCGTGGTTTCATGAATCCTTGGTTCAGAGTACCTTTCGATACGATTATGAATTGGGTCATGGATCTAACGAAACAGTGGGTCAGCCGGTGCCGGAAAATCTCATAAACATCCTTAAACTATTTCCAGT